AAACAAGGTCTCATGCCTACTTTTTGTCAAAAACTTCAACCTAGTAATTATTTATATTTTGTGCCTGAGGTGGGAACATGTAAGTAGTCCACTACCAGATGTTATGACCAAACATTTTGGTTTCATTTTTCAAAGATATAAAGACCCAAAAGGCACCCGATTCAGAGAATACTCAGAATTCTGCATACTGTACTTAATTATAATTAAGTACACAAATGACATCACCGCCATCTCTTCAGAGAGCTACAGGTGACCTGTGCAGCAACACATTTCAATCAATATTTGTCAATACTAAGAGCTGCTAGATTGAGCTGCTGTGATGGAATATGTAAGGAGAATAAGAACATACCATGTGGTCCAGCTGGAGTCTCCTCTGCCTCTGGCCCTCTTTCTGATACTTCATCTTTATTCCTCACATATATTTCTTCTTCTTCACTAATGTCTTCATCTCCTCCTCTTCCTCCGGCTCTGACCCTCCTGGTCTCTTCATCTCCTCCTCTTCCTCCTGCTCTGACCCTCCTGTTCTCTTCATCTCCTCCTCTTCCTCCTGCTCTGACCCTCCTGGTCTCTTCATCTCCTCCTCTTCCTCCTGCTCTGACCCTCCTGGTCTCTTCATCTCCTCCTCTTCCTCCTGCTCTGACCCTCCTGGTCTCTTCATCTCTCTTTTCCTTTTCCTCTTTCTGTTCGTCCTGATCACTTCTCATATGTCTTTTTGCTGTTGTTGAATCACTCCTATACTCTGGCCTGCAAGAGTCTACTTGTGAAAAGCACTGGTACAAATGTTTGTATAACTTTACACGTTAGGGCCATGTAGCCTAGCTAATAAGTAGCATATCATAAATAGAACATCAGAAAGTATTGATCAAACGCACACAGGCAGCTGTGTTTGGATCCAGTTTTTACGGTAAAGGATGTACCGGAAGAGACCAGGAGCGTTCCTGGTTTCATTGATCTGGCCTCATTGCTGTGATGTGTAGTTTACGTGGATTTAATAGTAGGCTACCGCGTAGTTTAGCAAAGTGATCGATCTCCCAGCTAACGCTGTCTGCGTAGTATTTTGTAACGTAACGCCCCAAACAGCGCCCGTCTGTTAAACGCTATCGATTCAAACGGCAGCGTTTTATTAATATTTAGTTTCAAGCTCTCATCCTTAGTAAAAACAAAACTAGTGGAAAGGGAAATGCTCCCAGGGGAAGCTGATCCATAGGTGCTGGGACAGCTCGCTCCCTCTCTGCAGCAGTGTGAGCCGCGGTCTGTGTGAACGCCGCTCCGCAGTTTAATGCAGGGCCGTAGCTGCGTTTTTAACAGGCCTAAAATGATATTTAAAATGATTCAATTTTAACTAATGTAATGCTTGTTTTGTTGCTTGAGAAGCTTGTGGAAATAGTGTAGGTTTGTTTTAGTACAGTTTTAGGGAAACAAAAGTTAAGGGGGCAGCTGGGGGGGCAAGGCTCTACAGTGGGGGGACAGCTGCCCCCCTTGCCCCCCCGTAGATCCGCCCCTGACTGCTGCTTAACTGAAAACCCTTTTTACTATACAGCGAGTCATTTAATCGAGAAAAAAGATCACTCAGGTGTGCTTGAGAATGTTCTCAGAGCTTGAAGTGACCCAAAGGTCTTTTTAAAATGTTTTTCTATATACAACAAGAAAATAAACATGAGTGATGTTGGTATTTGAAGTGGCCTTGTACTTTTTACATTTCTTTGAGGCACTCCTACTCACTTAATATCTGTACTCTAGGTCTCTTTGCTATGCGGCTTTTGCATTTCTGAAGGAAGTAAAGTAAGAACAAGTAGTTTCTACCTTACCTTTAAGGTGAAGTTTAACATTTAAATAAACAACATGTTAAGTTTCGTATTGCGTGGAGGCTTTGTAGCGTTTTATAATATTTTCCTAAAGATAGTTCAAAGATATCAGTAACCCCTTTCTCAAATTGACAGCTACAAAAAAACTGGAATGACAAAAACACAAGACATACATCTGATTCCCAACAGTCCACAGACTTCCATATGATCATTCGGCCAAAACAAACAGCAGATTTGACAGGGCGAGGAAATGAATGCCAAAAAGCCTGCTGTGTTCGCTGCTTGATATCCAACCATTGGTTTTAGGAGCCATACTCCTCATAAAGAACATTCTCAACGAACTGTGGGTGGACGACCCATTAGTTCACACTCTCTGATCATTCCTAAGTGCTTATAAAGAGCCGCTCTAATCAGATTCCTGGTAAATTGATTGTTAAGACCATGTGAGGCTAGAGTCAGGATCTTCAGCTTACTTTCTCCCAAAACAAGCATGATTTAAGCATTTAAAATACATTTGAAAGGTTTTATTGCTTTTTTTAGCAGGAATGATGACCCTTGAAGGCTTGAACAGAGATGTACTGTATGTATCTAGACAAGTTTGTATGCCTGAGAGTGCCAAATTAAAGGATAACGTTGCTATTTGTCAACCTAGAACCTATTTTACCATGTTTTTTGTATTTGACTGACTAATGCATTTTATTTTACATTAGGCTAAGTATGATTATTCCTCTAATTGTTTTTTTATTCTACAATTGTCATTCTTTACTCACCCTTTCTCTTTAAAATTAGTAGTTTTGATGTTTAATATTGACTTTGAGCTGACATTTTTAGGCACATGCTGTACATATCTACATACATACATACATACAAACACACACATACACACACACACAGACACACACACACCACACACACACACACACACACACACACACACACACACACACACACACACACACACTGATGAAGTGATAGGTCTTGTAGTGTGTGCAGCAGTGTTCAGAAGGAGGGACACAGTTCAAGAGAGCAGGCCGCTTCCTGTCCTGCTGCATCGGAAATTCCAGACCCAAGCCTCTGAGGCTGTATTCAGATTGGACACACACACACAGACACACGGACACACAGACACACAGACACACAGACACACAGACACACACACACACACACACACACACACACACACACACACACACACACACACACACACACACACACACACACACACACACACACACACACACACACACACACACAAAGGCACAGAAAGTCAACTCAAACACGTAATTACCCCAGAGCACACACACACACACAGACAAGCAGTAAATATGCAGCAAGGCTTGTGAGAGTTAACATAACACATCAGATCCCTTCATACTGTAACAGCCTCCCTCACACACACACACACACACACACACACACATTTGCACGCACATTAAAACTGCAAACACACACTCTCACATACAGAAACTCCCATCCGCTGGGAGTATTGTTGGATTCTTCCTCCTCTGACGCCTGTGAGGCTCTAGCTTGGGAAAAGGAAACTCAGTCTTGTGTAACCTTTATACACAGCAGAGAGAGAGAGATACCCTCACATACAGCGAGAGAGAGAGTCTTTTTGTGAGCAGAGACAGAGGCCAGCCCCTGAGCCCTGCTTTAATCCTGATTTTTACAGTCAACAACTTGTCGGCTCCAGAGACTGCAGGCCTTTCTTTCCCCTGTGTGACTTTGAGATGAGGGTTTAACTGCCTGAAAATAAATACACAAATACATACATACATTTAAGTGAGAGCAAGGCAGGTTTATTTATGCAGCACATTGCAACATGGGGCAATTCAAAGTGCTTTACAAAGAGAAAAACACACATTAAAAGCATGAAGATATAGTTATAAAATGATGTTTAAAATGAGAGGTGAAGTAAAATTGTTAGGAATACTGTACAAAATGTCATTGGTACGTTTTTGTAACGGTTGAAGTTTAAAATGGCTTCTTCTCGTTTTACTGTTTCAGAAGCGCATAGAGGACAATACTATCAATGCTTTTTCTTACATACAAAATAAACATATGATAGCAACAATACTATGTATGCCTCTGTATTGTATTATAGGGTGTTGTATTTGCATCTTTACTACAAAAAGCAGTGTGCTTTCCTCTCTCCTAGCACCTTTTTAGGACAATTAAAGGAAATGTTGTCAAAGCCAAGGAAAGAAGTTTCAACCTAATTCATCTCTCTTTCTACTCTTCTTCTTCTTGCTCTGTGGCTCTCGACAGACTGTGAAAAAGTCCATTAGTTGTTTACATACTCCCACTTTCTCCCCATCAACTTGTGAATTAATGTTGCGAATCACGCGGACCATTCTTGACTCTTCTCTTCTCCACTGAGGGAGTTATTCAGATTTAAAATCCCATAATCAAACACCTACGCTGTAAATGGAAGGCCATTAACGCTAATGGTATGCCTTGGACTGAGCCAAAATGAAATGTTGAAGAACTACAAGCTATTAGTGCAGGCTGAGGACTTTCTCCTCCTCATGTTGAAACATTTGTCTAGTTGAGTGTTTGTATTTCATTTCGTCTGAAGTGACTCTTTCTCTTAGCTCCAACGCTAAAAGCTGTGAGCAGGTCAGAAATCAAATCTGGTGGAAAGTATTCAATCTCAGAGAGCTGAAAATCTTGTCAATTTTCTCACTCAATTCTCTCTGTATTTAATTCTCTGAGGGTTGTAATTTATGGTCCAAGAAGAGGATTATATTCTTCTGCATCTAGGGTTTTATCTGACACAAAGTGGAACTTCTGAATGGCCTTTTTTAAATTTGAGTATTTTAAGAAAAAAATAGAAAATTGACCAGCCTCAAAGCCAACTCCTGCCCTTTGGAAATCTGTGCTCACTCCTGTACCAAGTGGGCAGACGGCTCACTCTGGGATCCTTCATTTCCTTCAGGGAGGGTCACCAACATTCATGATTTTCAGATAGTATCGCCTTAATTTGACTGACCAATCTGTGAGCTTTTATGTCTCATACAGACGAAATAATTAAAAGTATTTCCAGTCTCCTCAGGCAGGCCTTCATGTGTCTTAGTCACCTCTGGTTATTTTTAGGACGCCCCCCCTTGGTGTTCAGATGGTCCGGTCCGGGTCAGAGGAAGGGGAGTGGCAGGGGAAATGGGAAATCTTCAACAATGACTTCATTAACATGATGCCTAACATGACTACAGCTGGACTTTACTGCTCCATTCACCCAACACTGGATATACAATTTTTCTCTTTGGATTTATCTCTTTAAATATCTATAAGTTAACTCTACATCAATTTTACGGGGTTAATATGGAAGTTTGCTAAAGTTCACTCCATCCCAGACTTCCAACTTGAGAAGCATGTTGATCACAAGTGAGTATGCATTGTGTTATGACAGACAGGGAGATAATGAGAATCTTAGCCTCTCAGTTCTGCCTGTTTTCTTTTTGATGACAATTGACAATCGGTGCTTGATGACATTCATTAAGGAGGTGATTGGTTAATTAGCTAAACGAGTCTATTTAATGAGGACCTGATTGAGCCTTGATTAGCAGACAATGGCTCCTGGGCTACTGATGAAAGTCTCTTATGGTCGTTTGTTGAATTAACTGTAGAAAGATTTTCTATAGGGCCTATAAGAGGCTGGAGTAATGCCTAGCCACTAGTTTTTAATTGATTTTTGTTTGTGAAAAATGTATCAGCAGTAGCAAAAGTGTAACAGGGATTTCTTGATTCATGGGGCACGAAAGGAATTTGAAGCACTCCAGTATCCACTGAGAGTTCTTTATTGTTTGAAGGCCGTGGGCCTGAAAACATCACAAGCTTGGTTTTGAACTTGTAGAATAAAAGCTTTATCTTTGGCAGAAAGGGCGTAGGACTCGCTCTGAATGTGTGTGGGTTACTTTTAAAATGTGATATATTATAGAAACTGAACAAAGAGAATTGGTAAATATTCAAACTTTGGATTTCACATTGGGTCAAAAACAAATATGTATATATAAAATGTACTTTTCTTTTGTTTCTTTTATTCTGAGATCTGTGACTAGATAATTGTCATACGACGTAGTTTGAAATGTGTGCTTTGCTGAAGCTACATGCAATGTGAAGTTTTGATAGCGTGCTAGCAGTAGCTTCTCTTATCAAACGCACATTCTTAGCCTCACGTTAGCCTAAAACTATTTAGCACACCATGCAGCTGAACCAACGGCTGAATGATAAAGGTTTCCATTACATTTACAAACAAATCTTTAACACAGAATTTTTAAATTGAGCTGAATATTGTCACATAATTGTGAGCTTTAACCTAGGAACACTTACTTGTTATTTCTTACCCAATATACAGTGTTTTGGGTAATAAAGCATGCAAAACTCTCAGAAAGAATCATAATGTGAAACCGCTGGATTGCTAATAGTTGGCTTTTTATTTTACAAAAAGTGCTTAGTTTCTAACTGAATTTAAGAGATTGAGGATGATTGTTGTGGCAGTACGAACAATGATTCATTTACTAACTGAATTTCTAAAGTGCATTTTGAAGTGGCTTTAAAATAGTTCAAACTACATAGTGACTCCATCTTTTCAACGAAGTACAATCATTCAAATAATATCATCTTCAATTAGAAGTTAGTGTAGAAGATATCGAGCTAAACCTTATTCTGCAAATGCATGGACTCTTTAATTCCTAAGAAATTATTCAGGAGTAATTTAGTTTGAAAATCACAGATTTCTTCCAGCATAGCCACCCTCTTTGGATGGAAGGCTAGTGGAAGCAAATTGTCCACGCAAGTTTAGGAAAGTATGAGTTATTGTATAATTTCTCAGTCATTCTGGCCATTTCTGACAGCACCCAACGTCAACCACGTTGAGCCTTCCCAGATCACAGTGAGTGAAGCAGGGTCTCTGTGTGTGTGTCTGCTATTGGGTTATTTCATACATTCATACATTGAGATAAAGTATTTATTACATATTTTGCATCAGCTTATAATCTTCAAGGCCCGAAGGATTTAATGGACAAAGCAGAACTGATTACAGGGAGGGTCGAAATGTTCAAAAAGTCAATGTCGTTTAATTTTAGAGGTAAATCCACTCTTTGACCTGTTGTATTCTTGGAAACCATTGGCAGGTAAAATGAAAAGTTAATGCACAACAGGTTAAGTACTCCAAATTAAAGAAAAAAAGTCTCCATGTGGTTTAGCATTGCATGGAGACAGCTGGTGTTCTGCCCAGCAACACACTGCTGGGCTGAGTCAGATCTGTTTCTATGAAATATCCACGTAGTTCCTCCAATTTGCTTCATGGTAACCTGAGAGTGTTTATCTGAACTTTATAAAGCCTTTTCTTCTCTGGCATGAAGGCTGAGGACAGAGAGTGTTGTTAGCAACCAAGGGCAACAGCATGCAGGAATGATTATACAGTACAGTGGTATTATACCTACGTATGAGTTAATACAACTAGACCTGCCAACTGAGGGAGAGACAGGTCAGTGTGTGTGTGTGTGTGTTTTTTTTCCTGTTTATGCAGCAAAAACATGTCATTATAGTCTGAAATCCTTATAAATATAGTATTATAATAATGGCAATATAGTACTGAAATGGTATAGCTCCTTGTCGAGAATGTGACAAATCATAAGCCAGGATATTAACTTTGCCATTTATTGAGTGGGGATAATTACATTTATACAGGCAAAAACAAATACAAAATACAAATAAAAAAGGTAATTTCATGATATGCTATGATGATTTGCAAAGTAGCCAATTAAATAAGTTGAATAAGTTTCAGTTGGTTAAGCAAAGTGTAAACTTGAAATCAAAAGGAAACTAACTAGCTTGTGTTTATTTTGGTTGGTTATCTTTGACTCCATTTGATTTACGAAAAAAATGCTGAACTACAAATCACAGTTTCCTGACATTTACTGTATGTTTTGTAAGGGGCTGTGATGTACATTAGACTGTACATTTTCTCAAACGTCAGGGATTTTAAAAGAAGGACAAAGAACTCCTGAACATTTTATGGGCAGGTAAAATAATCTGGTAAATCATAAGAAGAAGAAAAGGTTCAAGGCAAACCTGAAGAATCATCAGAGTTTGGATTATCAGAAATAACCTTCCTATCCTGTTGAACAACCTGTGACCCCCTTAGATTTGACTTGCATGATTGTGATAATGTTTCCACAAATTGAACCCCTGGCTAACTCTCTGCATGACAAACAAATGAAGGTATTGCATCCAGTGCATGCAATGTAACCAGGAATGTAACCTGGCTCAGACACTGATGCCTCACAGCAGCTGCTGCTCTTGAGTTCATCACCATATTATGTCAACTGTTTTTTGCACTTTCACTTTTACAGTGACAATAGGCAGGCATCAGGATTAGCGTCATAGTGGCCTTTTTAAACTTTTTTCATATGAACTGTGTTTTTTCTCTCACTGAGTGACAGCTCCTGGTTTTTCCTAGTTAGTCAGGGTCTTTAAAGATAATCTGTTACTTTTCAGGCTGAAACACACACTATATTTACACGTTTATCAGTCTAATATCTAACATCACTAAATTAGTTCTTAACTGGAAAACATCCATATAAACTTGTATACTGAGCCATGCCACTGTGTGGGAAGCAATTGTATCTAATAGCTCAGTAATTGCCCATCAACCTTAAGGACTTTACCCTCTTGGACCACACAAGCTGTGGAGAAGAAGGGCTAAAGCTTGCAGGATTTTGGTAAAATAAAGACCATTAAAAAGCAACAAATCACAATCCTCCCGGCTCTCTGGGTTTAAGCAGAGGTGTATGTTCTTAATAGAGGCGCTTGTAAAAGAGTTTAATTGAATGTCCAAGCACAACTAAAGTTAACAAAAAATGTTTCATTAAGCTCTTTTTTTCGTTATTACTTCTGGCCTGAATGACCCTGAGTTTATCTTCTGGTAACACAGGAAGTTCAATCTTTAGCCAGTGACGGTAAATACTGTAATATTTAAAGTAAGTGCCTTATAAATGTAATCGTTGTGCCTAAATCACTGCAGTTTGCTGCAGATAGGGGTGTAAACCAAGAGCCTGGAGTTATTACAGCCTATTGTAATGTTTGTGAAGCATGCAGACAGATGGTTAATACATGTTTGTTAACTTAGGCAAGTTTGAGACAAGGAGAATATTCACCCTCCAGGATTATGTTTACCTACAGTATGTTTGTTAAGATGATCTATCGAACCGTTTCCTTGCTTGTTGGCCTCTTTCAGTACACTTAAGTAGTAGAAAAATGCATGTTGCATATGTAATCTCAAGTTGTTGTGACCCATCGCAGTATAATAAATGAAATATTTAAATCCTACACAACAGTAATTGACGGGCTGTGCCTTGTGTAATCTGGTCCACTCATCCAAGTTTAAACCACAGGATAATTTATACAGCGGCTGAATGTTTCCTCTAGATAACGAAAGTAAATTATGTAGTGCGAAGCAGGATTATAACAGGATAACCACTCAAGAATCATTACTATTCAAAATACAAGATATGAATAGTGTGCTGATCATTGCCCACATCAGCAGGCCAGAAGCAATATTTCTGATAGAATTGGGTTTGAAAGTTAGATAGCATATTTGGTCCTGGTTCATCAGAATAGTTTCAGTGCACACACACACACACACACACACACACACACACACACACACACACACACACACACACACACACACACACACACACACACACACACACACACACACACACACACACACACACACACACCACACACACACACACACACACACACACACACACACACACACACACACACACACACACACACACACACACACATGCACACACACACACACACACACACACACACACACCCACACACACACACACACACAAACACACACACACACACACACACACACAGATAGTGAGTATAGAGGTTTCGTATTCGCTTCTTCAGCTCTTCGTGACCACAGACATCTTAAACTTCCCCTTGCTGAGCTGACTGACATGGGAATACCATCAGTGAAACAGCGAATAGGAAGAGGAAAGCATTGTGTGCAGATTTGACAGCTGACATACCTCTGATCTTCAACCTAACCTCTCAAAGCCCTGAGACACTCTCAAGGGTTTCCCTGAACTGAAAGCAAAGCAGTGACTGCATTTGTCTGACCAGAAACGCCCAGAGTGTTTAGCGGGGTGTAAAGTGGTGTGAAAGCCCCTCGATCATCAGTAAAATATTGGACTTCGAATGGAAGGAATTTGGTTGCTCAGATATATGAGGGGAATATGCATGAGAGGGGAGGAGAAAACTGTTTGACTTTCGGCTTTTTGCAGATATGGTTAGACACACACGGTCAGATGGTAGGCGTTTAGCTATATTATGAGTTAAACTAAATCCTA